AGTGTTGAAACTGTTGTGCTGCTTAATATTTTTTTGAAACCTGTGATACTTTTTTTCTTTGATTCTTTGATGAACAAAAAGTTAAAAAGAACAGCATTTATTCAAAACAGAAATCATTTCTAACAATGTAAGTCTTTACTATCACTTTTAATCCATTTAACACATCCTTGCTGAATAAAAGTATTAATTTCTTAAAAAAAAAAAAAGAAAAAATGTACTGACCCCAAACTTTTAAATACTAGTGTATGTTGTAACACAATTTCTATTTTGAATAAACACTGTTCTTTTTAACTCTTTATTTAAAAAAATGTACTGACCCCAAACTTTTAAATACTAGTGTATGTTGTAACACAATTTCTATTTTTAATAAACACTGTTCTTTTTAACTCTTTATTTATCAAAGAATTATGAAAAATGTATCACAGGTCCCAAAAAAATATTAAGCAGCACAACTGTTTCCAACATTGATAATAAATCAGCATATTAGAATGATTTCTGAAGGATCATGTGACACTGAAGACTGGAGTAATAATGCTGAAAATTCAGCTTTGCATCACAGGAATAAATTACATTTTAAAGTATATTAAAATAGAAACTGTTATTTTAAATTGCAATAATATTTCACAAAATAACAGTGTTTTTTCTCTATTTTTGGTCAAATAAATACAGCCTTGATGAGCACAAGAAACTTCGGTAAAAAATATGAGAAATCTTACTGATCCAAAACGGTAGTGTATCTTTACACATCTTTTTCATTTTATTATAATGAAAATAATTTTATTATTTAGATTTTCTTGGGGGAAAATTATCAATAAAATACTGTTCCATAATGTAGTTTCTAATTAAAAATTCGCACTTTTACTCAATATATGTAATAATTAATAATAAAACATTATTGTTATTATTAATATTATTATTATTATTAGTAATAAAATGAAAAAAAAAAAAAAAGTTAAATAAACATTTTATTACATTAATTAAGTATCAATAGAATTTTTCCCGTAATATAATCCCTAATTCAAAATCAGCACTTTTACCTAATAGCTATATACTGTATTTTTTATAAGCTATACATTTGTTTAATGATTATTACACTAATAAAACAGTTTATTATAAATCATTTAATGTTATAATGAATATAATATTATTATAACAAACATAATATCATAAATAATTTATTTAAAACATTGGCACTTTCAGTATAGCAATTAGGCATGGGCCGATTACCGGTTTCAAGGTATACCGCGATTTGAAAATTTCACGGTTTCAAAACCGCTAATATTTTCCGTTATACCGTTCCTGCGGTATGCGCTGTTTTTCATGTCTCCTCAAAGACTGAAAGTGTAGGAATCCCTCCTGTTGGTGTGAGCGAGCGGTCAGTCACGTGTGTGTGTATGACGGCCGAAGGAGCTACCTCTGGAACTTACGCGATCAGCAACCGGACGTTTTTTGTTTTATTGCAGCCGATCTCTGTTCTGGACTTGCACAAACTGTGTTGCAATGCATATCATTTTCCAAGTGTCATTTATGTGACGATATTAAGTGTCTGTAAACACACGTTAACACAGGCCAGAGACGCTGAAGACGGATGCACAGAGAAAAATACTGTAGCAGGCAGATCACTCACTGTTCATGATGCACGAACTATTG